GGGTACAAAGCCAGTATACAGAAATCTATTGTATTCTTAAACCACCAGTGAAAAATTGAAATTCAAAGTTTAAAATAGCACCCCACTCCCCCAAAAGGGAAGGAAATGGGTAAGTACAAATGTAACAAAATATATGCAGTCTGAAAACTAAAAAACACAACCTAAATTAATAAATCATATTAATGGATTAGAAAACTCAGTATTGTTAAGATGTCAATTCTTCCCATATTGTCTATTAATTAAACACAATCCCAATCAAGATCACAAGAAATTTTTTTTTTTTTTTAGAAATCAGTGAGCTAATTCTGAAATATTTTTGGAAAGGCAACAGAACTATAACAGCCAAAACAATTTTTAAAAAGAAGAAAATAAGACACTTCATGGTTTTAAGACCATCTGTAAAGCTGTAGTAATTCAGAATTTGTGGTGTTGGCAAAAAACTGGATACATAGATAAGTGGACAGTAGAGAGCTGTATGAATATACATTCAGCTGTTTTATGGCAAAGATAGTAAGACAGTTCAGTGGAGAAAAAAGTCATTACAGCTAATGGCATTGGAATACTTCAATATCCAGATGCAAAGAAAAAAAAAAACTTGGCACATGCCTATAAAAAAAAAAAAAGATTCAAAATGGATCATTGACCCAAATTTAATGCATGAAACTAAAAATTATGGGACAAACCCATAAACAGCAAAAGAATGATCCATAAAGTAAAAAATGGATATATCAGAATTTATGAGAATTTAAGTTTTGCTCTGTGAATGGCACTGTTCAAAAAATAAAAGCACAACCTACAAATTAAGAGAAAATATTTATAAATCACATGTCCAAATAAAGGGCTTGTGTATAATGCACTCTTAAAACTCAGCAATGGAAAATATACAACCCAGTTTTTTAAATGGGCACAAGATCTCTTTTTCCACAGTGCTGGTGATCAAACCCAGACTTGTGCATGCTAAGCAAGCTCAGTACCACTAAGCTCTACCCCCATCAACAAAATCTTAACAGATATTTCAAAAGAAGGTATATAGATGGCAAATAAACATGTGCTTAATACCATTAGGCATTAGGGAAACAAAAATTAAAACCACTTGTTAGAATGGCTAAAATTATAAAACTAAAAATGCTGTTGGAAATGCAGAGTAATAAGAACTCTCCTAAATTCCTTCTTGGAGTGCAAAATGATAGAACCACTTTGGAAAAGAATTTGGTAGTTCTTTATGAAGTTAAATATATATTTGCTATATAACCCAGCAATCCCACTCCATAGGTAAATCCAAGTGAACTTAAAACTATGCTTATGTAATAATCTGTATTTTTTTCATAATTGAGAAAAATTGAGAATAACCCATATTTCCTTCAACAGATGAGTGGATATACACACTTTGGTTTCATCCAGACAAAGGACTACTACTCAGCAATAAAAATGAAGGCACAACAATAGATAAATCTTAAATGAGTTTTGTTAACTGAAAGAAGCCAGATCCAAAAGGATACCTAGGATGTGATTCCACTTACATTCATTCCAAAAAATGCAGAACAGCTCAGTGGTTGGGAGTGTGAGAGAGGCTGACTACAAAGGAATAGTATGGAATATTTGAGATGATGGAACTACTTTATATGAGATTGTGGTGTTAGCTATGAGTCTGCATTTGTTAAAACATAAAACTTGTGCATTACAAGAGTGATTTTTATCAAATGAAATCAAATAAATCAGGACTAATGGAATGCAAACTGTGACACATGAAAATAAGTATGTTACAAATTAATGACTGTGTGATAACAAAGGAACTGAGGAAGAAAGCTAGTTTAAGTAACTTTAGAAACTGTTTTGATTGGATACTGTAAGGATAGAGAACAAAAACATTGTAGTAAATCATAGTAGAAAGTAAATCTGAGACACACACAGATAGTGAATATAGCAGATATGTGGAATCAGGTTTCTCTGGACAAAAAGTTACATATAAGCAAGAGGGGTAAGGGTTGAGGAAGCGAGAAATAAACCCTCTTTCTGGGGTGTAGTTGAAAGTTTCAGTATGAGCTTACCTTTTTAAACATATAGATAGATATAGAAATACAGATGTTACATACATACACATTAATATGTATCATATATTTTCTAGTTCTGTCTACTGAGAAGTCCTTGAAATATGGCACCCAGTAAATAAGTATAACTAGCACTCAGATTTTACTTTCTAAACACCATTTCTTTAATTCACGGAATCAGACCTCCTTAAAGAAGTGGTTGATTGGTAGACCTGGTATGTGAACTACAAGATGAGCAAAAGGCACTAAAGAATAAGTGCATGCCAAAAGGTCACAGGAGGGCTAGAGATAGAATGCTTGCCTCTTATACACAAGGCCCTGAGTTCAACCCCCAGCACCACAAAAAAAGGGGGGTGGTGTCACAGGAGACACCTTTCCAAAAGAACTCCCAAAGCCTCAAAACTAGAACACTTGAGTAACAAAATAACAAATTACAAAATTACGAGTCATCTATGTATTTATATTCCAAGGGATGACAAATATTGAGTTCATTATTGATATAAGTGAATGATTGAATAAATAAATAGTGAAGTGACAACTATTCCTTAGAGAGAAATTAGTGTAAGTAGAAAGAACAAGACAAATAATAAATCACTTTTACAACATCACAGTGTGATAATTGTTTCAGGCAAGGCCAATCAATAAGAGCTGCAATTAGTGGGCAAAAGTTAAGATGAAACAGTATTTACATGGCTTCAAAATGTCTCTTCCCCAATAAATATTTGTTTCTTACAAAGGAAAAATAGTGATTTAATACTGGAGAATCCTGAAAGAAGCTACCATGTTAAGTAGAGGATCAATGCTAACTTCACTGGTAATGAGACAAAAAGACACATGCTTTCCAATATGGTGTGCTAAGAATAAGAAGGTCATATATCTCCGTGGTATTCTTCTATTAGTCTGTGTCTTTTAACAATGAATAAGTATAAGACAACCTTGTTCAGAGACATTCTACAGGATAACTGAATAGTATTCTCCAGAAGTTCAAGGTCATGAAAAAAAAAAAACAAGGAAATACTAAGGAACTATTACAGAACAGATTGAGACTAAGAATACATAACTAAAAGCATGTGGGATCCAAGGTCTGATCCAGGGTCAGAAAAAGGTCATAGGTAAAAAAAAAAAAAAAAATGGTGAAATCCAAGTAAAATTCAAAGCTTTAAATAGTGCTGTCTTTTTAACATTAGTTTCAACAATTGCATTGTGTTTCTTTGGAATATTAACCTTGGAAGATGTTGAGTGAGGTGTCTGAAGGGAACTCTCTTTGCTCCCTAATTCTAAAATTATTTTAGAATAAAATATTCAACATACATATAGACATAACAAATAAATATGTCCACAAAAGGAGCCACTGGGGGCAAGGAATGGCATTTAGGATGGCCATTTGGCTCACCTTTCAGAAGAAACTGGTCATGCAGTACCTACTACTTACTATCTTTCAGAAATACAAAATTTTAAAAAAGGTTTCACTTAAGGCACAGAAATGTGTTTACAAGAATTATTAGTAAACTGAAAAGTTTAAAGATGAAACTACATTTAGACTTTGAGAAACTGCTTAATAAAATTATTTCTGGGTTTTGTTTGTTATTTTTCCCTATCAGGCATTAAACTCAGAGGCACTTAATCACTGAGCCACATCCCCAGCTTGTTTTTATTTTTTATTTTGAGACAGCATCTCTCTAAGCTGCTTAGTGCCTCACTAAGTTGCTGAGGCTGGCTTTGAACTTGTGATCCTCTTGCCTCAGCCTTCTGAGCTCTGGGATTATAGACATGCGCCACAGCAGCTGTTTCAGTGAAAAAGAAATTATGAAGCATTTCTACAGAGAACTACAAAACTTGCCACAAAACTATTTACCCCTTTATCCCTGAAGGTTAAAGTGAAAACTACATATTTTACACACACACACACACACACACAGAGCCATAGTGTTTGATAGTGTTTTGGTCTGTATCTCGTAGTTGGAGATGCATAATGATTATGTATGACAAAGTAGCTGAAAAGTATTTTACTCACATTTGAAGTAGTAATTACAGGCCACATGATTGTTTTGCAGAGTAAATAATCAGCCTCTTTCCTATTTCATCCCATTCATTTGCAGAGAAACCTGCTTCAAGATTAGGGCTTCATGTATCAGTAATGCTCAAGGACACTTTTTTACAGATTGAGAGAGAATTGGTTGACAATTCAAGTAAAATGAGAAGAAAATAATGAGTAAACTGCTTCAAGCATATTAATATTTTATAAATGTTTAGAAGAAAAGGAACACATATGTTTCATTTGTTTCTTTCCTATTCATAGCTTATATCAGTTCATTTCTTCTCCAGGCTGATTTTCATACACACACACACACACAGAGTTTTTCTCCACTACAATTATTTTGTTCACATGTACACTATTACTTGCAAATGATAAGCATAAAAATCTGTTAAATTTATTAACAAATATTTGAGATCCTGTTGTTTCATAACATCATGTTAGCTACTATGGAAAGTAAAGCACACCATAATTTCTGCCTACCAGGGAGCACAGACTCTAGCAGGAGATAGATAGACATGTGTGACCAGGTGGGGTAGTAATAGGAGGATTCAGATGTAAGTATATTCTTCAGAGTTCCAAATGTAGACTGCTGTCACAATTAGCAACCTTTTTAAATGTCACAGGAGTGTGGTCATTTGTAAGAGAGGCCAACATAAGAGCAGACTGAGATGGCAGTGGGGTGGGGGTGCTTTAAATCCGGTCCCTAGAGAATTTAAAAGAATTTTCTAGTCTTTTGAAAAATGAACTCAAGTATAGAGACAACAAGTAATTTGTATTTTTATTTGTTGTGTATGTAATCATCTCTGGAGAATTACAGACAACTTCTAGTGTCTGTGTTTTTCTAAAGTAATACTTTGTTTTGAGTGCCGTTGGTCTTAGTTAACTCTCTTATCCCTCTTATGTGCTGAGTACAGTCGGAGGAAGAGGAATTGGAGTTGGTGAGTGCGGGTTTCTGCTTGAAGGGAGTTGAAAAAAATGTAGAAAGTACTAATTCTCTTAAATGTTTTTTATCTAACCAATGTTCCTTTGTTACACAGATATTTTTCTTTTTATTAAAACACTATTCAAACACTTTGAACCACAAAAGCAATCTGCTAGTACTATAGACTCTGGTTTTTTCTATTTAAAATTGTATATGTTGACTCATTTTATTGGTTGGAGGGAACATTGAATAGAGCTTTTAAAAACCAGCTGTCCATGAGCACAGGACAGTGTTAAACATTTTTAAAGGAAAGATACAAAATGCCTTATATAGCTCTCCAAATTATTAAAAATATTTTTAGAAAATGACTTCACCCTCAGAGTTCCTCAGATTGTAACACACAGTCTTGTGTTATTTCTCTTTCTTTCAAAAAGATTACATCATTTTTGGTGAGGTCACCTTTTTCAGAGTTGGAATTATTTCATCCTGCGTGAGAGGATCTAAACCACAAGGGGGTTCCCTGTTTACTAAAAGGAATATCTGTAATTAAACATACACAAATTTACTTTTCTATCAGAAGATACTCTATTCTTAAAAACAGCTATTATCTTACCCCCCCCCCAAAAAAAAACAAATGTTTTATCTTGGCTTTTCCTCTAGATAATAAACTTAAATAAAAATAACTTGCAGTTGATTTGTTTCTTCTTTGGGACCTAAATCCCAAACTACACAGAAGTAATCATATGCATTCAAAGTCAGCTGCTGATTAGTTGTCTCTGATTAAAGGGAAATAAAAACTTGAAAGTGTTCAATTCTTAGCATGGATAGGGGTTAAGAGTGCATGAGAGCATGGGGTAAAGGCATCATTTGGTTTTGTTTGCATTTGTTATTACATGTTTATGCATGCTCTTGTGTTTTGCAGTTTGTTTTCTTTTTAAATAAGGTTGTCTATGCTCAGTCCTTAAAATGAGATCGTTCTTTATTTAGCATTGTGATCACTCACAGTTTTGGATTTGTTTTTGTGTAGGTTAAGTGAAACCCAAGTTTGTTGTGAATGTGATGTTAGGTTATATTATGAATATCTTTTGGTGAAATACTTATTGATTTAATACTTATTAGCAAGTAAAAGTTACAATTCAAACATAAATAATTCATCTTAAATTAGACCTGTTTACACTTATGACAGTGTCCTAAATGCTTCCATGAATTATCTAGCACTATGTTGCCCTCTAGTGGTTGTGAAGGTCATTTACTCAGAATCAAATCCCATTGAGATAAAGAGCTTTGATGGATAGAAACAATATATGGCAAGGTTATTGTTATCCCCTGCCTTTGAAATCATGTCAGGAGATTGCCATAGAGATAAAACCATAGAGTGATGAGGTAGCCCATACCATACCCCTCATACTGTATTCTTTCATCTCATTTGGCTTACAGACCAAATATTAGAGAACAAATTAAGTCCAAAGTATGTCCCCGTCTCAAAAACCTAAAATACTAATTTGATGCCAAGACTAAAATATATTCCCGATTGTCATACATTAACTTTCCACCTTCCTTAAATAAGTGCACATATAATTACAGAATCTCAGAAATGAACTTCCAAAGGCTTTAAAATATAGAAATCATGAAATGTAAGACAAAAAGACATGACCAAAAAATGTCAATAGGCATTCATGTTCTTTAAAACTTAAGCAAATTCAGACTCTTAAAACTTAATTCAAAATTTAGAGTTTTATATGTCAAAGTCAAAACAGTCAGAAATATAATCTGTTAGAATTAGAAAGTTGTTCAAATTGGTTTGAGCTCTATAATATTATCATGGGTGACTTTGACTCTGGACCTGTACTAAGGACTTTAGCTGGTGAGAACCAGGCTACAGAGGTCCTTTAGAAGCCTTGCAATTCTAGAACAGCTTTACCTCATGACAGCTTTAGTAGAATAGTTGGACGGGAGAGATAAATATATTCGTCCTTTTTTTAAAAATCAACACTGTGTAGAAGATTGATTATAGGGGATTTCTGGGATAATTTAAAGATACTGTCTAACATGCCTGTAGTACTTCAGTTCCCAAAGCACTTCTAAGATTGCTTCATTTGATTGTCACAATAGCATTTGCAAGGCAAAAGTCAGACAAAGATTGCTTTACTCCTGTGTGACAAAATTAGAGGCTCAGAGTAGTTAAATGATTAATCCAGTCTTACGATGTGGTAAATATAGGACCAACACTCAGACAGTACATCCACACACAGTGTGGCCATCCTGATATCTTCTAACTTAGGATAAAAACTATAAACTAAAAAGAGATTAACTGAGATCTAGAGCTTTATCAAATGATCATTTTTTCACATACCTAGATTTAGCCAAAGGCCTGCAACTTATGTGTCTTTCTGAAAATAGTGATAGACAAAACCAAATAACATTCTGATCCTTTAGAATCTAAAGACACTGAATTATACATTTGCTGGTATGATTTAGACCCTAAATAACAAATGCCATATTATAACTTCATTTATAAAAAACATAAGTTGAAGTTGTGCTTTGGCCTCCCACATAGTAACAATGTGGAGTCTAAATTCTGTTCCTCTCATCCTTGATTTCAGAAAAATATTACTTTAAGTCACAGTGGGGAGAAGCTAATGCTATCATACTCCTATCCATAGAAGACAATAACCTTAAACTAACTTGATTATTTAATAGTTAATTTTTTTGTTCATTCCCAATGTAGATAAAATACTATGTAGAAGCAGTCAGCAATCATTTAATATTGCTCCATTCACAACCCAGTTCTTTAAAAACTTTCTACTCAGAGCATCTCCTTTTAGCAAACTGAAGAGGTAAATATCTGAATCTGCTGTTAAAAAATAGGTCATCTGCAGGATCAGTTGGAAGGAAAGATGCACTTAGAAAGCCATGTCTTCAAACCATACATCAAATGTAAATGCTATAAAGAAAAGTATTTTTGATCCCTGTACTCATGAACTTATAATTTTTAATATACAAATGACTTTTGCTATCATCAGCTGCTTAAAATCAACACATTTCACTTTGGGTAACCTGACAGTGTCTGTAATGACATCAGGTTCTCATTATGCTAACATATTAATGTGTTATCACCCATAAGGTAAGTTTCTATTTTAAGGATATGCCTCTGGCATTAATAAACTGGAGAGAGAAGGTGAATAATTAATGTAAAAATAGGTCATTTAAAATTAAATATATAGTTACTCCCATTAGTATCCTTAAGGTTTTCATATCATCACTGCTTTAGAAAATAACATTCAGATAAAATTGTGAAAAGTGTCACATTTAAATTGAAAGTTATTTTTAAAATATGAAGTATGAACATAAATACCACATAATAACACTTTTTTTTTTCTCATCTCTCACAGAATACCCAGAGGATAAGCAGTTCTCAAGCCACTCAACCTCTTGCTACCCCAGTTGTGTCTGTGACAACCCCAAGCTTGCCTCCACAGGGACTTGTGTACTCAGCAATGCCAACAGCCTACAACACTGGTGAGTTTCTGTGCCTTTTCTTTGCTTTTATTTCTTTGTTTTGTGATCCACGTGTGCTTGTGATTTTTTAAAAAGTATATATGCTGAAATAAATTTATCCCTGCTTTTTTAGATTCAGATTTTGATATTGTTTTAAAAATGCTAGTCTTGAAAAAGTCACAGAAAATACATTGATAGTAAAATGAGCTGAATAAATTATTTTATTTCTCCAATGTGAATTTTTACTTGCCTCTGACAAAAAAAAAAAAACAAAAACAAAAACAAAAAAAACAAAGAGCTATTATGAAAATGTGGTAAGCATCCAGCCAAGGAGCAGGTAATAGCCACCTTTGCCCAGATATTTTTTATGTAGTTTCTTGCTACAGAATCTCTAGCTTCCAGACTTTTAAAATTAGATGTTTGCCTTCATGCTGTTAAACTGCTTTGGGGGGATGTGGCAGGTGCTTAGCTGTGGCCTGCAAGCCTGTAACCACTAGTTTGGTCTGTGTCATTTGTGCCTAAGGGGCAAAACAAGGTCATTTATCATTTCTCCTCACAGCCACTGAGAGGAGCTTTTCACTCATTTGTGTTTATTTGGACATTTCATCTTAAAATACCCTAATTTGGGAGTCTGTTAGAAAAGTTCAAGAATATCACAGTGATGGGAAGGGTGCTTTTAGCCAGGCAAGCTATATGGAAAACCTGGTCTGCAGCAGGTTTCATTTAGATTTGCTATTTTAAGGAGGGGAGAAAGTGCACCTAGTGTTACTTTCTCCCCAGCTGAGCCAAACACCTGTTGTTTAGAAGGAAGGCAGGCAGTAAATTACACCTTGCCCCCTTATCCAGAGACTGCAATGCATGAAAGTTATTCTTTTATGATTTTCATAAGTAGACTGTGGTAAAGATCATCTAATTTTAGACTTCAGGGTAAAACACTTTGATGCCCTGCTTTCATCCTGCTGTCTGGAGGCAGAACAATTGATACATTTAAATGCTGCTTTAATTTGCAGTACTAGTTTTATTAAAATAAACATCTTTTAGAGGTTTTGTTAAAAAGCTTTGTAGAAATGTCCATTACCTTTCAACAGTCAGTATGGGGTGGGGGGTGGAAGGAAATCTATCAACTAAAATCCAACCTAGTGTCTGTAAATTATAGCAAATTATGTATGTCTTGCACAGAACAGGTTCCAGATTAAAGCCAGGGATTGAGCATTCATAGAAATTATGTTTCATTACATTAATCACTTGTTATATGAGAGATGCCATGTGACAAATTCTATATCTTCTCTCTCAAGTTTATTCTAGATAAGGAAAGGGGACAACCTAAGCTGATAACCATGAAGGGGAAGTCCCGAGTTTTTGTGGTTTCTAGTTAATACTCCAAGGTTGAGAAAATACAGGAAGAGAGAGCTCAAGAGGCTAGATGCCCAGGGAAGTGTTAGCTGAGAAGGTGAAACTTGGACTGGGACTGCGTGTCAAAGTTAGATTTTGCAGTTTATTGAGCATTTCATTACAGGTTTTTTAGTATACTTAGAGATTCCACTGTACTTATTTTTAGAAATGCCAATAAGTTAGAAAGAATTCATATACATATATATTTTACATATAATAAATATTCTTAAATATTGAATATATACTCACACATACACACTCTAAAGTCTCACAGGGATTAACAGTGTATAAAAATGAGTCATTTCTCCTTAAAACCATCTGTCACTCTGCTTTAGTCTCATTCCATCTTTTGACTGACTTTATCTTTGCTCTCTTTCTCAGAATAATTATCCTAACATTACTGTATTATCTTTAACTTATATATCTATTTGCCTTTTTAAACACTTATCCATATTTTATCTTGTTTATTCTATCTTGTATCTTTTTATACATATTTAGTGTCAAACCCAAGTCATACAGTAGGTTAAGGGATAAATAAATGAGCAATTTTTTGAAATAAATGCAAAAACAGTTCTGTGCAAAGGAATTCTACAGAGACATCCTCATACCCATCAATAATATCACTCCCAGCTTCAAGACTTACACTTTGCAAACACTCTGTGGGTACTTATTGTTTGTTGTGTAGCATATACTTTGCCAGGTACTGAAAATACCAGAGTCAACTATGGAATTTAGGGTCTGTCAGCATAGAAAGACACAAGGCAAGCAGCTCTAGGAAAGATCTGTTCTAGTTGTGTGAGGGGCCACCTTTTAACTAGAACATGAAAAAGTATGCAGGACTCAGCCAAGCAGGCCAAGGAGAATGATCTCAGAAGAAGGGAGTAGAGGGCTAGCTGACAAGAGTAGAGCCTAGAGGGGTAAGTAGGGATTTGTTGGCTATGTTGTAGGTTTTGGACATTGTCTTAAGAGTGTTGGGAAACCATAATTTTTTTTTTTTTTTTTTTGAGAGAGAGAGAGAGAGAATTTTTTTAAAATATTTATTTTTTTTTTTAGTTATTGGCGGACACAACATCTTTGTTTGTATGTGGTGCTGAGGATCAAACCCGGGCCGCACACATGCCAGGCAAGCGTGCTACCGCTTGAGCCACATCCCCAGCCCATAAAATTTTTTAAGTAAAGGCATGTCATGATCATATTTGTTGTTTTAAAAAAATCACTTTGTCTACAGTGTCCATCGGGGCAAAATGAATGCCAGGTAACCACACAAGACTAGTAGAGTGACCCAGTAATGGTTACTGGGGATTTGGATTAGAGTGGTGACAGTAAAGACAGTGAAATCTGGACAGGCCTAGATACAGTAGATAGCAATTGACCAGACTTGGTGGTTGATGGTGGGTTTAAGAGAGAAGAGAAGCAGCAAGGATAACACCCACAGGTTTCTGGCATAAACCTCTAGGTGTATATTAGTGCCATTTAACAAGGTATGGAGCATAAAAGGAAGAGAAGGTATTAGAGAAAAACTTGAGCCATGTCAAATTTGAGGTGTTTGAAGAAGCATCCAAGAAGACAAGTCAAGTGAGTCATTGGAAGGGCTGGCGGTTCAAAAGAGAACTGTGGACTAGAGGGTCACTGGGGCAGGCATCAGTGTGCCAAGCTCCCTTCCCTGCAGCCTCTGTGGGGATGGCTGAGACAGTCTGAGAGCATATAGAACAAGTATTGGTTCTACCATAAATCTGAGCACCTCAGCTCAGTTCCTTTTTAAAAAATGTTAATTCACTAGAAAGACCAACTTTTTAAAATCCCTCTCTTGAGACATGAGAAAGAAGTTAAAAGTAGAAGTGTTTGCCACCTCTCTGTAGAACTAAATGGAAAAAACAAGTGTTTATAATGGACTAAAATAACTCTTCATGTGAGTAATAACTAATGTCCTAAGTTTTGGTCACAGTAATTATGATGGAAACATTCATATAAAATGAGCTATATATTATATTCTTGTAACAAGAAAAGTTTTTTTTTTATGAATTTGAGATGATTTTGCATGTAGTGAGGGAACTGTGACATTCCTGGTACTTTAAACAAATGCACTAATTATATGATGATGCATTTAATGTCTGTGACACTAAGCTTGACAACCATGAGCAGGGATTCTATGTCTTTCCTGTTCTTTGTCCTTCATCAAGAGTTGCTGATCCAGATTCAATATGGGAGAGCTCAGAGTTTCTCTTTGTTCCAAAGGGTAGTGGCAGGTATATTTATTTTAAATAACAATTATATAGGAATAGTCCAGCATAGCAATCTTGTCTTCCTTTGTAGATTACTCACTGACCAGTGCAGATCTGTCAGCCCTGCAAGGTTTCAACTCCCCTGGAATGCTGTCTTTGGGGCAGGTGTCAGCCTGGCAGCAGCACCATCTAGGACAAGCAGCCCTCAGCTCTCTTGTGTGAGTACTGGAAATCTTCCCTGAACTTTTACGCCTGGCCTGCAAACACTCTTTTTGTGTCAGTTAAAGTCTTTTACTCTGTAGACTCTCATGTGAATAATCCTACAGTGGTTCTTTTTTAGGTGGACAGAAATGTTGGGAGAAAATATTTTCTTAACATGCTCTAGACAATAGTTTGGATATGAAGCAAAGCATAGGCATTCCTTGAAAGGATTCAGGGAGCAAGGCTTTTCTTTTCAGACACTCTGAGGTAAATCAGCTGGTACCCAAGGGGATTTCAAGGCACAGATGCCACCACATGTACCCCTTTCTACCTGCTGATTGATGAGTCAGCTGCCTACTCCCATCCTGCTTCCCAACATCTGCCTCTGATTCCACTGCTTAAGGAAGGCAGCTTGAAGGCATTTGAGCTTACATAACGCCTTTCCCTCTTTTTGCTTTGATGGCTGGAGAAGAGGAAGATGAGTTGTGTCTTTAGCTTTCTTCCTGAATCTTGGGGGAAGAAAAACAGGGCTGGGTAGCCCATATATGCATTAGACTCCATAAGATTTATGTGAGTGATCTCCCAATGTACATACCCTACCTCATTCACAAAGAGAACATTTCTTATGAACTGAGTGTGAAGATAAATGTGAAGAAGTGTCAGTCTCGTGCCCAGAAGAGATGAGACTCCTTGAGTAGTAGGGAGAAGGAACAGGGCTTGGTAGATTTAGCATGACAAGTACGCCCATTAAGCAGGTGGAGGAGAACAGCCTACCCTGTTGGCTACCTCACACCTGTTCAGAGCAGTAGAGACTATACGTACCCTAGCCTACTAACCTCCTTTCAGAAAGTGCCCAGAGGACCTGAGCCCAGGAAACCCATTCCTCCTGAGATCTGAAAGAAGTCCACAAACATATTGTTATCAGTAATCATCTTGAGAACTAAATCACAGGAAAAGGAGTGGAGTATCTTAGGGAATTTTTTTTCCCCTCCACAACTGGCCCTCAGACCTAATCCTAAACTAAAACACTAAAAACAGCCCTGAAGCTGGGTGTGGCAGTACACACCTGTAGTCCTAACTACAAAGGAAGATGAGGCAGGAGGATTACTTGAGCCCAGGGGTTTGGGGCCAGCCTGGGCAACACAGAAAGACACCATCTCAAAAAACAAAAATCAGAACAAACAAAAAAAGCCTGGGAAAGCAAATAGAAAAGAAATACAGATGTGAGGAAAAGTCTTTATACACCCTCTTGTACCAATCTGAGTGAGTTCATCAGCCTTTCTAAGACTGTTTTCTTTTCTGGAAAATAAAAATGATATGATTTACATCTCAGAGTTGTGGAAGAGATGAGATGTTGTGCTATCCCAGGGCCAGAGTAGAAAAGATACCAAGGAAGATGAGGCATCGAATAGAATTTAGTGTGCCATGTTCCTCTATCTTTTTGGACCACACACAACATTAGACACTGAAATTGTTTTGCAAACTTCAGCTGCAAAAATACCACAGTGGTAGATAGTAGAAGTGAGAAACGTTAAGAACCCAATGTACTATTTCTTTCTTCCTGGAGAGATGTGATTTCTTTTTGTACCATATACTAAAGGAGATGACCAAAACCAGCCTTGGGGAATTCTGACAGGATTTCAGACCTTGGGTTGTTTCATTCAGTCATTGTCTTCAGTGTCATTTTGTGAGTTATGCTGATACTCTCACAAACCATCTCACTTCTCTCTTTTTTTTTTTTCCCCTCAGTGCTGGAGGGCAGTTAACTCAGGGTTCAAATTTATCCATTAATACCAACCAAAACATCAACATTAAATCAGAACCGATTTCACCTCCCCGGGACCGAATGACCCCATCAGGCTTCCAGCAGCAGCAGCCACCACAGCAGCAGCCACCACAACCCCCACAGCCCCAGCCCCGGCAGGAAATGGGGCGCTCCCCTGTGGACAGTCTGAGCAGCTCAAGCAGCTCTTATGATGGCAGTGACCGAGAAGATCCACGGGGTGACTTCCATTCTCCAATTGTGCTTGGCCGACCCCCAAACACTGAGGACAGAGAAAGCCCTTCTGTAAAGCGCATGAGAATGGATGCTTGGGTGACCTAAGGCTTCCAGGCTCATGCTTGTACTTTGTGTTACTGCAGTGAACTGCCCTACATATCTAAATTGGTAAATAAGGACATGAGTTAAATATATTTATATGTACATACATACATATATATTCCTTTGCATATATATGTATGTGGGTGTGAGTGTGTGTATGTGTGGGTGTGTGTTGCATACACAGAATCAGGCACTTAACCTGCAAACTCTTGTAGGTCTGCAGATGTGTGTCCCATGGCAGACAAAGCACCCTGTAGGCACAGACCAGTCTGGCACTTCCTTGGACTACTTGTTTCGTAAGATAACCAGTTTTTGCAAAGAAATGTGTACTCATATATAATTCTCCCACACTAGCTTGCAGAAACCTAGAGGGCCCCCTACTTGTTTTATTTAACTGTGCGGTGACTGTAGTTACTTCAGAAAAAAATGCTTTGTAGAACAGAGCAGTAGAAAAGCAGGAACCAAGAAAGCAATACTGTACATAAAATGTCATTTATATTAATTACCCAACCTGGCATGGGTCTCTGTTGCAAATGGGTGCATGGGAAAGGGCTGTTGATATTAAAAAACAAACAAAAAAAAAAAACAAAAAAGCCCCCACACATAACTGTTTTGCACGCGCAAAAATGTATCGGGTCAAAGAAGTGATCTTTAGGTAATAAAAAAGAGAGGGTAGAAAATACGCATGAGATATTCAGAAAATACTATCCTAGAAATATAGAACATTAACAAAATAAAATTAATATATTAAGTTATAATTGGAATACATCAGAAGTTTCTTTTTACATTCATATCTTTAAAAATAAACTGATTTTAGCTCATGTATATTTTATATGAAAGAAAACACCCTTATGAATTGATGACTATATATAAAATTATATTCACTACTTTTGAACACATTCTGCTATGAATTATTTATATAAGCCAAAGCTGTATGTTGTAACTTTCTTTTTGTTCTTTTTTGTTTGTTTGTTTTTAGAAAATAGCTTTATCTTGTTTTAACTTTTTAGATTTATTTTAAGAGGGGAAAAAAACAAACAAAAATATCTTGCAAGCAGAACCTTGGAAAAAAAAAGCCATGAACACTTATTATCTATATATAAATTAAAAGTTGAGCCAAACTCTTTGTGTATATAGCATCTTAAATATATTATCACATTTGATGTAAGTACCTATGTATTGTATGGTCACCAGATTAAAAAGTATATTTTTGTGGATTGCCGCCAATTTTGGGGGGAAAGGCGAAGTCCTTATTAAGTAGAGTATTCACTGTTTAATATTTACTATTTTGTTAAATATACTGTACTTTGGATTTTAATTATTAGCCCAGTTTTTTCAGAGGATTGTATAAAGGGGTTTATCCCCTCACTGGTGGTGAATGTGTGATGTTACATTGTAATCTTTGTGCTGTATGGGGTGAGCATCATTATATATTTTATATGTGTATATAAATAGCAAAGTGGCAAAAAAATTGGTGTTAAGTTCATCCTGCATAAATATAAAATGTGCTGTAACAGATTTTATAAGGCATTATTTAAAACTTGCCTTTTGTGAGGAAAAAAGTACAGTAGACAAGATGACCTAATTTAACTAATATTAGAGAAAATGGCAAAATAGTAGATGAGCACAGAGGTTTTATAAGTGGTAAATGATTAGAGAAAAATATTTGTGAGGAACGGGATCTTTTTTCCTTGACCCTCTAAAAATAGAATGATGCAGCTAGTTACAAAATATACTACCATTACCAACTGTTCTGTGCATTGAAATGACACTCTGGTGTGGGGGAGCAGTTCTCTTATGGTGCAGATCCTTGGCATGACTCTTGCTGTCCTGATTGAAATTAGTGCCACCCTCAGCTTGAATTTTCAACAAGGCCTTATTCTTACAAGAAGACAACTCATCAGTGATAGCAAAGTTCATCCGTTTACTGGGCTCGTGCCATGAACAAAATTCAAAGTCCTATATATCTTTTATTATAAATTTTTAGATACTCCTTGTTCTGAGAAACTCAACAGAAGGGTTTTAAAATCGCTGCTGTTTTATATTTTAATACTGAGCAGCTATCTACAATTTTTACTTATATTTTGTTTTTCCCCCCAATTAAGTTCCTTTTGACATTTCCCTCATCAGCTATTTGTGACAAATCATCAGCCAGATTTCCTGACTGACACATAGGTATTAGGTACAGGATAAGCCTGTGGCATTGTCATTCACAGGCCGAGGAATGGAGATTCTACTTTAATGGCAGTTTGGTAGTAAATTTTGGTAGAAGCCAAAAAGGGAGGATGATGTGCTGTCTCCTCTTTTCATTTCAGTTAGGCATTTGGCTCTTATTCAGAAAGGATTAGTTTTTCTTTTAAAGTGTACTTAATTTACCGAACTACATACAGGCACATTTCTTCATAAGGTCACACCTGATAGAAACAAGACAGTCCCCCAATACTGAATTTCCAAGATAATCCTTACCACTTTGTAAACCATTTATAGCTTTGAAAGTGTTAAGTGATCCTTTTGTTATTATTTATGCATGTTCATGAACTTCTGCTGTATATTGGAATAGGAGTTAACACATTCACATTTACTGTCTATTTTCTTGTGTGCCTTATGAGATGGCTTTTCTGACTGTATCTCAATAGTCTTTCTTTCTATGCAGGTTTATAATCAGTACAACTACTGTTTTCTAAAATAATATTACACAAGGCTCGGAGTTTGTATTTAAATTACATTGACCAAGTAACAATGTATTCTGTTTTCAGGAACTGAATATTTGACTGTTAATATTTTTCCCATACGCCCAGTATGATATGGAGCATATGGACTTAACAGACATGCCTCACCCAGACACCCATATGTGAACACATCACATCCACATCTCTTGGCAGAAAACAACTAGAGTGGGGAAGACACTAATGGTGTTGTTTTGAAACCAACTTTTCTTACCCTTTTAGACTCACGTGTTTTGTATAAGACACTGTCACAGGACGATTTTGTCCCTTCAGAAGACATATTTTATTACTAAAAAACAAAAACAAAAAAAGCTTAAATTGCACTGGTTAAAGGAAGTTCCCAACAGCTGTACTTCCTTCAGTACTCTGGTACTGCACTGAGACTGAAAGTCACCATTGTATTTACACAGATGGTCCCAACCAAAACTCCATCTTTTGAGCCCTAATTATGTCCATTGTGTTATAGACTAAATCAGGGGTTTGTTCTAAAAGAACAATACATATTTTGCCATTTTAACTGTAAGGACAATTAATAATGCATTAACATAATTTCTGTATTAACCATCATGCGCACAAGAAATACATAGTAAATAAGGAACCTGAAAACTCCTGGCATTGGATCATAAAAAGCTAGATGATTAGAATGTGAAAAAGATTTTACAAATGTAAAACTTTTATTTCTCTGTAGAAACTCTTCACTTTGCTGTGCAAGAAGACACTGCTTTGCTATATTTAAAATGGCTTTTTTAAAAGAGATTTATGTATTTGGTAAATGTTTGTAGTCAACAGTTCACACAAGAAGCTGTACACGGTTTGATCATGTAAAACCGTTTGGCGGCACAAGCTGGACTTTGTTGCCATCCTTGAGATGAACCTTTTAAGAAAAATAAGTTAATCTCAATTTCCCTGAATGTGTTGTTTTTCTTCATTATACAATAAATATTATAGTGAACTTTTTATCAAATGGTTAAGACATTGATAGAGGTTGTTGTGAACTATTTGTCTCCTGAACTCACTCCAGTAAAGATGGACTGGCTCTTACTGTACATCTAGACTCTGTCATGTTTGCCTGGGGAACAATAAGGCGCTGGCTTTGCTACCAGGCATCCCCTTCCTCAAAAGCTCTTTCATTTGCCTTACTTTCATAAGGATCTTTTTCACCTGCAGGTCCCCTTGCCTTACATTGAGACATGGTCAGGAAAACTGTCCCAGGACCCACTAGAGGCTTAGGAAGCAGCCAGCCAGCTGGTCCCTCCTTTGCATCAGCTTGGCTGTTCTGATATGGCTATTCATTGATGCAAACCAGTGAAATCCATTCTAGCTCCAATAACTATTCACAGAAAATATCCCAAGTGTGTTGAGGGAATGGATATTGTTAGCACTTAATCTTAGTCCCCATTTATCTTTAAAGGTTGGGGTGAGGGGTTGAAATGATTTGCCCAAAATACGTACACCATACTGACTGAGAGGCAACAGAAGTCAGGTTAACTTTGGAGTTTCATTTTTAAAAGTGATGCTGTTTATTCCATTATGCTGTTAGGTATTCATCAGTGGTCATCTTTCATGGATATGATTCAGCTAGAAAATGGAAAAATTATCTAAGTTTGCAGTAGAAAATGTCTTTTTCTCATGTGTCTTCTCAGCTGGCTCCTTGCAGCTGAACAGAGTCGTGGTGTTGAATTAAGTTAAAAGCTAAATTTTTGTGCTGGTTTTATTTGCTGGCTATAGTGGAGTTCTTGTTAGCAGGTTTTGAAAGCTGGTTGAGTCCTGTGACTAAAAATAATCACAGCTGCAGCTACTTAAAATCAATTCACTGTGAGCTCCTAGTCAGCTCCCATGGGGGCCTTGCTCTATGCTATATCCTGTTTTCAAGCTGATCCTGTGCCTAAGTGGCACCATCTAAGAAAGTAATTTTCATTTGCAGCCCTGCACCAGCTGGAGGACAACAACCTGCCCCTGTCCGTTTTGTCCAGTGGCTCGCAAGAGTCCGGAGTATCACTGTACCACTTAGTTGTGAACTTGTCTGATGTCTTCTCATAATCAGAATAAGGTTGTGGATTTGGGCAAGAATATCACAGAAATGATAGAATAATTTTGATATGTCTTATTACAGGCAATGATGACCTTCATTGTCTGGGTAGGTGCTTTCTACCAGGTTTCTCCACTGTAAAGTTACTATCTTTCCCTTTGTTATTGCTAAATACCTCAGAGATACTTTGAGACTATGCAAGCTTTCCTCAGATTTTCACCCACTTAAGCATTTTGTCTACAACTGTTGTTAATATGGTAGTTGCCTGTTTTCTTTTACATTTATTAATTGGGATTCTTTTAAGGAACAGCTATCCTTTCTCCCTGCTTATTTAATTTGATTATATATGGACTCATGGATATTTATTATATGGGTTATAATCTTGTACTGTCATTTTTTGTTCCTCAGATTGCTTCAGATTGCTTCAGCTTTGGCCATTCATAGCTCCATCAGGTAACTCCTGTATTCTTTGGACACACTTGCCTCCCACCCCTTTGACACCATAAGATGTTCCTCACTCATCTTGTATTTTCCCTCTCCCAGTGCTGGGTCAACCACTTCTTCAAGGACTCCTGGTTTCTTTAATTAGAGAACAATATTTAGAAACCAAGATCTGGGCTCTAAATGTGCTCATTGATTTATTAAGATCTTACTGCTTTTAGGCCCTCTCTGCAAACACAGCCTGGAAATGAATGTGGTATGCTCACTCACAGAGAGATATATTAGCATTTCACGAGTCTCTTCAGATTCCCATTCACTACAGGGTTAGTGTACCCTCCTTGCCTTTCCTTATTTATAATGCCTTTCTTTTATGGTAAGAAACCCAGCTCTAGTTAACAACAATCTATTTATTTGTTGAGTTCTAGTATACACATAAAGTCCTTTCAGAATCGCCAACCCATACCTGTGTGAGGAACACACATTTATTAACTACAGAACATGTTGGTGTTTTGTTTACTTTTGGCCTTACACTATCCAGGCAAGAGAATGTTTTCCATGGTTACTTTTAATTCCCAATTTCCTTCAGTGTGGTGGTTATTTATTTGTAATACAGGTAAGCTCATCTGTTGGTGTTTTTATTTTGTTACACTCTCCTTATCATAGTTGGTTTCAGTTATTTGCAGGTGCAGGTATATGAATGATATCTGAAACATTTCTAAGAGAGCTGTGCAGAGCTTCTCAAAGAAATGTCACTCTTCTCACCATTCCATTTTCATCCCCCATTTCTCCCACCAACCCTACATTGACAATCAGTCTTTCTACTTTCTGGTATAATCCTTCCTGTTTGTCTTTTGCACAAATCATCAGCTTTGCTGTTTTCACTTGACAGCATATCTGGAAATGACTCTGCAAAGCATTCAGTTTACAGAAATCCTTGCCATTCTTTCTTATACCTGCATAGTACTCTGTGATGCAGACATACTGTGGTTTACTAAACCATGAACAGGCACTTCTTATTATTTCTAGTATTTTGCTGCTATCATTGACTAGCCTTGTACATATGTATTTTTGTACTGTTAGAAATTTATCTTCAGGGTAGATTCCTAATTGGGATGACTGAGGGCACATGTGGTTTTGTACGTTTGCATTTTCTTTCTTTCTTTTTTTTTTTTTTTTTTTGGTTTCCTCTTTGAAAGTTTTTTTTTTTCATTTTTTTTATTGGTTGTTCAAAACATTACAAAGCTCTTGACATATCATATTTCATACATTAGATTCAAGTGGGTTATGAACTCCCATTTTTACCCCAAATACAGATTGCAGAATCACATTGGTTACATATCCACATTTTTACATAATGCCATATTAGTAACTGTTTAAAAAAAGAAAAAAAAAAGCTATACATTTTACATTCACTTCTCAGAACATTTAATGGTACCAGCTAATAATGTTATATGAAAAGCCTACCAGCTGCTTGAAATGGCTGCAATTTTACCATGTTCTGGTATTAAAAATGGTTTGAACCCTTTGGGGAAAAAATGTATAACACAAAGTACCAAGATGTCAAATCTCAAATGAAACAAAATTTTTTAATAAAGAGGGAATTATTTAGTAAAAATGCAAGGCTAAAAGAAAAAAATATTGTAAAATAGAGGACTTCCCCTGCACCCAGAGTTAGGTAAAAAATGCAATCAACCCCACCCAGCCCCCTCTATTTCCCTTAGAAAAACTCGCAATCCTGAATACAGATCAGCCCCTGGGATCTCACACTGGTCCTAGTTGGAAGTTAAGAACTGACGTGGGCAGGCAGACACCCACAAACACCAGCACCCGCAGGAACGCAACCACTTGGCTTTGGCATGTCTATAGAAATCTCTCTGGGAACTGTGTAAGAGGACATGAGCATGTCCTCTTAACATTTGCATTTTCTCCAGCAGTGTGTGAGAATGCCTGTTTTCCTACAACCTCACCAAAAAATTTGTTGTTATATTTTTGATTTTTACAAGTCTGATATGATAAATTGTATCTCAGTGTTTTAATTGCCTTTCTCTATTATGATTTTTTAAATTTTTTTCACATGTTCAGGGGCCAATTTAAATCTCTTCCGTCTGTGAATTGTCTCTTCATGTCTTTTTCCCACTTGTCTATTTGGTCTTTATTTCTCATTTTTTGAGTTCTTTTTATATCAAGGATATTAGTCCTTTTATTTCCTCCAAGTTTGTCAGTTGTCTTTTGATTGGGGGGCGTATTTTGTCTTGTAAAATTTTATTGTTTTTATATAGTCATATTTTTGATACTGTGAAACTTGAGCATTTTTAATCAATGAAAATAAATGTGCTTTTTGTTTCCACGTAAAAAGTAACACAAGTAATAGATATTAAATAAACATCACAATCATTATAGAAAATTATCAGTATTTAATAGTGGCATAAATTTACAAATAGTTAAAACTTGTATTGGTTTTTACTCCTTTTTGTGTGTGTATGTGTGTGTGTTTTGTTCTTTTTAGTTATACATGACAGTAGAATGTATTTCGACATATTATACATATATAGGGTACAACTTCCCATTCTCTGGTTGTACATGATGTGGAATTGGTCGAGTATTCATACGAATATAGGAAAGTTTTGTTTGATTCATTCTATCTTTCCTATTCCTATCCCCACTCCCTTCCCTTCATTCCCCTTTGTCTAATCCAAAGTACTTTTATTCTTCCCTCCCCAGCCCCCACTTATTGTGAGTTAGCATCCTCATATCAGAGAAAACATTCAGCTTTTGGTTTTTTGGGATTGGCTTATTTCACTTAGAATGGTAGTCTCCAGCTCCATCCATTTACTGGCAAATGTCATCATTTCATCTATTATGACTGAGTAATATTCCACTGTGTATATCAGTTTCTTCATCCATTCATCTGTTGAAGGGCCACTAGGTTGGTTCCATAGTTTAGCTATTGTGAATTAAGCTGCTATAAATATTGATGTGGTAGTGTCACTATATTATGCTGATTTTAAGTCCTTTGGGTATAAGCTGAGGAGTGGGATAGCTGGATCTAATGGTGGTTCCATTGCAAGTTTTCTGAGGAATCTCCATACTGCTTTCCAGAGTGGTTGCACCAATTTGCAGTCCCACCAGCAATGTATGAGTGTACATCCCTTTCCCCCCCCACACATCCTCACCAACATTTATTTGTAGTCATTTTAAAACTTTTTATTGCCTGTGGATTTTGAGTTATAGTTATAAATCCTTTCCATACACCAAAGTTAGAGAGGACATCACCTATGTTTCCCTGTACTTATATGATTTCACCTTGTACAGTTAGCTCTCTAATCCATTTGGGATTTTATCCTTAAATATAGATCTAGTTTAATTTTTTTTAACCAATGGTTGTCTAGATGTCCTGTTTACTTAAAAGTCCATATTTATCCCACTGATTTGAGTATCCCACTACCTGTATCTTAGACTGTCTCCACATAAATTGGGTCTAATGCTAAACTTTATTTTTATTCCACTATGACCAGAAATTTGAAATGGCTCTCAACACTGCCCAGAAATGCAACTAAAACTCCTTATTATGTTAGT